AAATGAGCTTGCTTATTTCTAACTAATATTCATATGATGAACAAGAGGTCTTCTTCAGAAGTTTTGTGCACATAAAGCAAATGTCAGTAAAAGGGATTTCAGGTAAAAACCAAACTTCATTTCTAGCTGCCCACTACCTTCCAAAAGTCCAAAAAGCTTGGCTTGAGCAAAAACCTAATTCCTGTCATGTTTCTAAAATAAATCAAAGTTTTGATTTGGAAATATTAACATTACATATGAATCACACAATATTAACAGATTTGTACAAAAAGTTTTGACCTTGGCATTTATAACTGGAGAAATTATACAGTCATTAAGTAATCCATGTTCTTTTTTTTGAAAGGTTAAAAAGATACTTATCAAAAATGTTGTTTCAAATTTCTAAGGTTCTTTGAATCCTCCATTCTTTATCCCTCATACACTCATTGTGTGTTTTGTCAAAATGCTTTCTTTTCATTCTCAGTTTTGAAGGATCTTCAGGTTGATTGTGTCCTAACAACACCTCAGAAGTCCATAAAGCAGCTGATTGCTAGATTTTGTTGCAGATCCAATTGAATAAACACATAAAGAAATTGAGTGATGTCACCAAATAAGATGGGGAAAATATGTGTGAATAAAAGGGAGAAACTAGGAAATAAAAGGTTGATAGATTAATTATATAAGCTGCGGATGGAGGTTGGTGGGTGATTGCTTGTCTAGCATGTATAAGGCAGATTCAATATCCAATACTGAAAAAAATTAAATGACCAAATTAGACACAACAATATTCAATTACAAAGTAGATGGCCTTACGGCAGTATAAAATCCAGTATATATCATAGTCTCTCTAGCACCTGAACTCATGACACCTGGAAAACAACATCATAGTGAAGAGATAAGGAAAAAAGAACTTTTGGAATTAAGAACGAGCTCACTGAAAAACTAGAAATCATAGAGAAATTGGAGAAACTGATCAACAAAAAATAAGGAACAGTTTGGAATGTTAACCCCAGCCTCCAGGGAGAGGACCTGAGTGCAAACACAAGGTAAGCCAGGGGAGAGTCCATAGCCCCAGGGAAAAATAATGGACCAGGTTGGGAGCACCAGTCTGAAGGAAAGTGTAGGTACTACAAACTGCAAAAACAGCATAGGCTTTTACTCTGAAAGTAGCTCCTTCTATATGGCAGCCTAGAGTTGGAGAAGAAATCCATTGCCATGCCCACCATATTTGAGAGTAATTAAGAAGCCATTTTAGGAAGAGGTTAATTGTATAAGATTGAGATACTCTGGGAATCAGAAACCACAGGACAACCACATTTGAGAGTTTCTGGGGTTACCCTACCACAACTACTAGGTGGGAGATGGCAACAAGAGACAGTCACAGAGAGGCTGGACATGGACCACCTGAGAAATTTAAGCTAAGCCAGAAAAGACACAAGGATCACATCTTCCATGGTGAGAAGCTCAGTTGGTTGCCTATAGTTTTGGGATGTCTGGAAGTGGTAGCATTTAGTCCAGTAAACTTCTTGACACTCTCACCTTGCTATATACATCCAGGACGGAGCTCAGTGGTCTGTGTTTATCCCCTGCTAACACGATCAGGGAAACACCTCAGCTTCACTGGCTGCCATGGCCTGGAGTGTCCAGATAGTGGCCTCAGGAACAATGTGGGGGTCACCTCGCAAACCCACAGGCTGCAAAGCTAGGCAAAGCAAACAGTGACGTGGGGTGCACTGAGGGAAACAAGTGGCTAGAGTGAATACAAACCTAGTACTGCCACCAGTGACTGACCACGACCAGCAGGAAAGATGGATGGGGCAGGACACAGCATTCACACGTAAAAAGTGAGTGTGGAAACAAAATGGGACTAAGTAGTGACTCACCATCCCTGCCGTCCCACAGCGGGGGAAGTCCAATACTGCAGGCCCTGGAAAGAAGCCACTGATTCAAACAAAGGATGAATTTTGGACTCTTTTCTCTTTTTCTTTATTGGTTAGGGGCCTGGGGTTTGTTTTCTCCTGTTTTCCTTTTTTATTTATTCCTTTCTTTTGCTCTTTGTTTTCTTTTCTGATTTCTTGGTATTGTTGGTTTCTTTTGTTTTCTTTTGTTATTTTATCTAATTTTATTAATTTTCTTTTACTCATTGGATTCATTATCTTATTTTATCCCCTTCTTGTTTCCCTTTTCTCTATTTTTCGAGTTTACTTCTTTCACTTTCAATTTCCCCTTCCTCACCCACTCCATTTTTATTAGTACTATTAAGCATCATTAATTTTTAGATATTTAGTTGAATTTATTCTATTATTATTGAACTCTGTTGTTAGTAATGGTATAGTTGTTGCACTTAGATACTGTATGTCAATGTTTGGTTTATTTTTGTGTCTATGTTATTATTACAGATCTTTTCTACTGTTAAACATGTAACGGGGGCAGTTTTTATTGGTTCTTATGGTGTGTCAACATCCAGTTTGTCTTTCTTTGTATTATTGTTACTAATTTCTTTGTTATTGCCAATGGTGGCACACATGTTGCTGATAAGTAGTTTTTACTGCCTGTCAATACTCGGCTTGTCGTTGTGTCATCTACATTACTATGGCTAATTTCTGGAGAATTGGATGCTGAGTCAATTGCACTACACCCTCTCATCCTCAAATTAATGGATGTAGTTTAATCTTGGGATGAAGCAAAAGGCTATAGTTAACTGTGTCCAGGGCACATCACTGGAAACAGACACAAACTAAAGAGCTCTTCAAACTAGCAAAAAGTTGCTCTACTTTAATCAACCCTCTATCCTAAATGTGCATGCTTGCACACATATGCACATATGATAGAAACACCCAAAAAGAATAGAATGCTTCCAAAAACTCTCAGTTCCCCAAAGCTGATCCATAAAGTATCAATGGAGAAGAAGTTGAAAGCCAAACAGTCAAATTATATGAAATACTAAAAGAGAAAACAAAACAAATCAAAGTGCATCAATAAGGTGCTCAGTGAGCTCAAACATGATATAACTGAACAGAGAATGAACTTAATAAACAAAATGGTGAGTGAGTCTAAGACACAAATAAAAAACTAGCAAAGTGAAACAAAATGGTACAAAACTCATATGATCATTTCAGTTAGAGCCCATGAAAGGTACCAAGCACAAATCCAGGAAATGAAAAATTCTATTGCCAGTATGGATGACAGAAGTGACCAGTGTGAGGACAGAGTGTCAGAACTAGAAGACAGAGCTGGTGCAGGTGATCATACACTCAGAGATTCCTTAAAAACAGCAAGAGAGCATGGAAAATGGATCCAACAGCTTGTGGGTGATGCATATTATCAGGTAATACAGGTATTCTTCATTTATCAACCTAGGTAGGTCGATAATAACTGTTTGGACACACCACCAAAGCTTGTATTGACAACCCATCTTTTTTTTTGTATAGTTCTGTACATCTTGTTTTAGAGCCTCAAGGACTTTTTTCCTACATATATCTTCTTAGTACAGTACTATAATATTTACTGATTGTAGTCTATAATACACTACTATAGTTTTATATTTTGTTATATAGTACAGTACTATATATAACAGTTATGCAAATAAAAGCAAAGTCATCAAGCTGACATTTCCTTTGACTATTTCTTGTTCTGAATATTGTGGTGTACATACTACAATATATATGATTCCCTATTTAGTGACCAATCCATTCAATGACCTAGTCACAGAAATAGAACCCAGTTGTTAAAAAAGGAATATCTGTAGTGCAAAGAAACTAGAAATCAGTGCCAAAAGAAACCACAGATATTATGCAAACACATAAAGATTAAAATGTATTTGTGTTGACTTGTTACAGTTATAGTAAGAATCTAATGCATAGTTTTCTTTTTAGCTTTAGAATTTACAAATACTTTATTTTATATCAGTTTAGAACATTTGAAGACAGAAATTTTTAAGTAGAAATAAATTCAGAATAATAGAAAGTTAGAAGTGGCCAGTGTCAGTATCCAATGGTTGACTAGTCAATCTGTGCCCAAGGAAAAGATTTCTGAATATGTGTGCGATGAAGCAAAACACATAAAAGCAAGTCTGAAGAGCATCAGTCTCTGGTAAGTGCCTGTTCCTCAAAATTGTCGGAGGTAATTTTTCTTGGAATTTTTTAAAAGCTTACAATTGATTTTTTTTTTTTTTAGCATAATGTTGCATTATATGTAGGCCTTGGTTCCAAAACCTTGTAGAACTGGCCAGTTGTCCATGTCCTATTTTCTTTCCTTACATTTATATCCTCAAATAGTGCTTGCTTTCTTCTCTTCTTTATAATTAACACCGTGCAGCACTTCCTTAAACTGGGCTTCCACCAACCTGGCTGTGGGGCTGCCAGTCTTGTCACATCTCCTGTTTTCTGCTGTCTGTAAGGATAAAAATGTGGTCTTATTTCATTTTTCCTTTAACTGCCACGTTTCTCAAAGCAAGCGTCAGTTTCTCAGAGAATGACAAAGTTTGCAGACGTGGATCTTGCAGCCTGTAGCTCCTAACTGATTAACATGATTGTTGAGGAAGAAAGCTGAGAAGAAACAAAGCTATAGTGTCCCTAACACACACACACACACACACACACACACACACACACACGCACACGTACACACATGCACACACACAGAATGACTATTTATGCACAAAATCACAGGTACTTATTTTATCCAATTATAAAATTTGATTTTTGTGTGTATGTACATATCATGGGCATTTTTCTGTTTTCTCCACTGTGAATTGTACAATTATACAATGGCAACCCAGGGAGAAACCATAGAGGTCACTCAGCACCACCCCCACATTTTGCCAAGGAAAGACTGAAAGCCAGACAGATTGAGACTCGTCCATCCTTTGACTTCTCTTTCTTTACTTTTCAATCGTTTCCCATCAGCAGCACATCAACCAATGATCAGGTGAGATTATTCAGGCTGGGTCATTCTATTTCTTTTTCTTATTGACCATGACAATCTCTCCATTTAATGCTTTTCCTTCCTATCTAATCTTTAACACTATTAATCCATTTCTTTCATGATTAGCTTCGCTTGATTTGTCTTTTATAGATAAACTGAGTCATCTGCAGGCATTTAGCTGGCAGTAAGCCTTGCTCAGTGTCCAGCCCATAAATGCCTGTGACTTTCTGTTTTATACTATCTCCTGGATCACAGTTTTTTGTTGATCTAACTTTCTTATCATGTCAAGTGTTAATCTTCTTTCAGTGATTGCCCAGCTAAAGTACTTTGGAAAAATGAATACACTGACCTGTCATTTCGAAGTCCTCATACAATCAAAGTCCTTCTTGTCCTGTATACACATGTGAAGGCCATAGACAAAGACTCTGAAGTAAAAAAAAAAAAACAGTTTTGCAATCCTCAGAAAGAATTTTCTGGAAAAAAATAACAAGTGTGGCTATTTCACTCAGAGCTCTACAGGTAATCAATCCAAATTTTTTTTAAAAAGAAGAGCTATGATAGCTAATATTTATCGGACTTATCACTTGTAAGTTATGCTAAGCAGTTAAAAGAGGTTTATCTAACTTAATCCTGTAAGTTAAATGCAATGCTTGTCCCTATTCATACATGGGAAAATGTGCATACAGAAGCAGTCCAGCTACCTGCCCAAAACCCAGGAGTAAACAGTGGAGCTGGGATTTAGGGAACTAGGTAGAACCTAACCTCCTAAAAGCCCTGGCAAACCATGTCTTATTAAATAACATGTACAACCTCAACTTATACCTTGTATTTGGACAAGCACCTCCGGTGGTCATAGACTCAAAACCAGTGAAGACATCATAGTTCTAGGCCAGTAAGCACACACTAGGAGCTACACGGCACTTGACATAGTCAGATGCTTCTGTGTCTTGTGAAAATGAAATACGCATCTGTGCCGATATTTCAGAGCCTCCTGGTGGGTTCAGTGATTCAGCAACACTGTCAGGAAGGACAGCTACTAAACCATCTTCACAAGTTTAGGTCTACTTCCTAAGAAGAAGTCAGCCAATTCTTAGAAATTCAGTTCAGAGCTATGGGCCTAACCAAGGTGAGAAACATACTCTTGGGTTGAATTTCCCTGATTTTGTGGAAATCTGAAATCTCATTTTGTAAGGGTTCAGTATTGGAACTGGGCCCCCCGACTGAGGCCGCTTGGGCTGCGTATACAACCTACTGGAACTGTCTGTTATCCGTGAAATAAAGTGGCAAAACAAACCCATTTTTCTCCTTAGGAAGTTAGCCCCCAAGGAATCAGGATTAATATGACAGGCTCTTGCAAACTACCCAGACAATGAACACTTTAGTCAATTGGTCTGCCATGGTGGGACATCTGTTTCTCAAAGCCGGAGTGGGAAGTTTTGCCCATTCCTACACTTTCGACTGCCATGTACTTTGGAAATGATTTTCAATCCATTTCTTCAGCAACTGCCTCTCCTATTTACATCTGATCTATTTTCCAGTGCATTTTCTTCTTCATCCTTCTAACTGGTACCTCCACCCAGTAAGTTCTAGAAGCAAAATTCCTTGGAATTAAAAATACCTCATGTCAAATCCAACCCTAAATACAAACCTGCAAATTCTGACATGGCTCTTGAATCCCTCTGCTATCCTACAATTTTACTACTATTATGGACCCCCCCATTTTTCAATTAAAATGCTATTTCATTCTTCTGTTTAATTGCCTTGTGTGTCTTGTAAAAATAACCAAAACATTGTCTGTGGCCTATAACTTCTGTCACAGTCTAGTCTTGATCTATACTTTGGCTTATCTGTTATCTCTCTGCTGCTTCTTTCCATTTGCTCCCAAGAAACCCTAACCACGTCCATCTTTGCCTTTCATTCCTTTACAGCATTTATCATGCTAGATTGCATCCTTTTGGGTGTCTCTCTCTTTCTTCTGAAGCCTATACACTTTCTGAAGGAAGGGATCTCATCTTGTTCAGCACCAAGCCTGACACTTGCAAAGTGCTCAACTAGTATTTGCCCAATAAATGAATAAAGGGAGCAGTACTTAATGTTACATTGGATGTAAGGAACAACGTTTATATATATATAAACTGCCCACATATTGATTAATCAAAAAATATTTGGTAGAAAGTGGCAGCTCAGAAAGTTTCGTTGGAGTCAGATACTTTATTTAAAATCCCAGTAATGGGGCGTATCAACAAGGTGATCATACGGGTAAGTCAGTTAAGTTCTCTGTCAAATGTGGATAGTACTGTAAAGTGGGGGGAGGGAGATGACAAATAAAGGCAGGGTACATGGATATGTCGAAGAATCTGAGTGACAAGATTGTTTTCTAACAAAGGACAGTGTGGCAGAGCCATTCCTGTGGACTAACTTGGACAATTTGTAACCTTTTTGTCTTTATAAAAATTCTCCTCCTATAGCTAACTAAATTAAACAGTCAGTAAGCAAACTTCTGCGAAGTGTGTGTGTGTGTGTGTGTGTTCTGAGACAGGTTCCCACTCCGTAGTTCAGGCTGACCTTGAACTCACTATATAGTCGAGGCAGACCTTGAACTCACAGTGATCCTGCCTCAAGTCCTGGGACTACAGGTATATCCCACCCCACAAGGCGCTTATTTATTAGTTAAGTGGACAGCAAAGATTAAAATGACTGTGATGCATTACACCTGGATCTACAGTTAAAACCTGTCATGGATCCAGACATTTCCACTGGAATGGACATAGTTCTTGATGGAGCTGACGTAAGAGGAGCCTATGGGACAGATTCCCATAGTCTTCATGTAGTCAGTTGTCAGTCACAGGGATAAGACCTTGGGTTCTAGAGCCAGACTACGTAGGTTCAAGCTGGGTAGCCACGAGCAATTTTCTTCAATTTTGTCATCTGTAATATGGGGATAAAAGGAATTCTTACTGCATAAAGTTGTTGTGAAGACCAAACAAATAATAGATAAGATTTTTGGTATGGCTCAATAAATGTTATCTATAATTAGAGTGACTATATGATTTATCATCACATTGGGCCAGCTTTGAATTAATGTTATGGTTTGGTTTTGCTTTGCTTTTTGTTACTGGGAATTGAACTCATGACCTCAGGCTTGCTAGGCAGGCGCTGTGCTGCTGAGCTATATCCCTGGCACATTTGGGCCAGCTTTGAGAGTAAAAGCTATGTTGTAAAGCACACTAAGATTAAAGTGGGATTTTCTGGTCAAACTAAGACTCAGTCAAGCTAGCTGTGATGATGTCACTAATGATGTTGATAATGACATCTTGCACTACAAGCCAGAGGTGATTCACTCATACTCTTCGCATGTCATCTGTCACAGCAGCGATAGCTGAACTGCAAAATTCATGTACAATGCTTGTTTCTACCGAATATCATCAACCCTTAGCTGCTACATCCAGCCGAAAGGAAAAGTAATACGTGGGTTTTTTTTCCTTCTGAGACCCAAGCAAAAATGATGATATTAATTATTATTGTATTGAATCTTCTACTTCATCTTTAGGGTCCAGTTTGGTAAGTCACAATATTGTGTCTGAGACCTGCAGACCAGTCTCAACCACAGTAAATAGATTTACACTTTAACTCACTATGCATATTTATTTTTTAATCTTAATTTTAGTGTAGCTTTAGGTCCTTTCTTGTCTTCTTTGTACACTTTGTCTTTTCTGAACTATGACAAAAAACTAAATATAGAGGGAAATTCCCAACAGCAGGCTGAAACTTGCTTTAACCATTTGCATCCAACTCACAATGTTAGATAATCACATCAAGAAAATCAGTAGCTATTCATTTCATATTATGATTTAGTTATCATTTACTATGTGCTCAGGAGTATGGTAGAAAATTTTCAAGATATGGTCCTACAGGAGTTTTCAGTCTGGTTCAAAATTCAAAAGACACCTTTGTGAAACCAGAATACAAAAATGCGTATGACAGAGACAGAGCTGTGATACAGAGAATCCCATGAAGAGAAGGCAGGAAGGCAGGACTAAGCTTTTAGGGGAAGCTCTGGAGAGGTAGGGTTTGAGTGGAGGCGTTGGGTGGCTAGAATCTGAATAGATGGGGGAGAGATAGGAGACCCCTACCAGGTGAGGAGGTGATAAGAACAACACAGAGCTCGCAGTTAAGGGTGAGAAAAAGTGTGACATCATACACTGAAATCATTTTATAGACAGGGCCTCCCAGGCAGCACAAGGGGTGAGGAAGAAGGAAAGAGCCCAGTGACTTGAAATCTCTGCTGCAGGCCTATCCAATACCTTGCAGATGCGCTTTTCCATTTGCATAAGACTTTGAAATTTCAAAACAGGCAACAACATGAATTGACATTGTTGCAATTATTCTTTTATTAGTCTTCCCTCTGTCCAGGAAGGGTCATGGGGAAAGTGCAAGGTGGACCTTATTTATAAGACCATGTCCCAGCACAAGTCAAACGATCATCCATTTTGAAATGCGGCTTGGGATCGCAAAATGTGACAAAATAAAAATCACAAGTATATTTGCTTCCCAATGAGGGAGAAAAGTTTTCTTGAAAGAGCAGCTCTCCAATCTGGCAGAGAACTCCAGGTTTCTGAGGTGCTCTCCCCTGGCACTCATTCAGACGCATTTACTACTTGGCATCCTGCTTCAACCACATATTATTGCTTAATTAAAAGTACTTCTTTTAATAGATCAATAGACTTGCTTTTAGGAGCTGCCATAATAACCCATATACTTTTATTCAAAGTGGTGGGAGGGGTGAGGAGGGGTGATCCATGCAGGCTCAGGGAGGTGTGAGATAAAATGTGCATGACGTGACATGCCGTTTTGTGACCGGGTGCGTGGAGCACAAATTGCTGCTCTTTGAAACAGAAAGAAAAGTCTGAGCCAATTCAAACTAATGACCTGGCTCTTGTTTCTGAAGTGGGCGGGGGTTTAATGAAGCCTTTTCATGCTGCTCCCAAGCAGGGTGAACACACAAGTTTTTGGCCCCTCGGAGCTGGAGCCATGGGCTTGGCAAAGGCCAACCCAGGATATTAGCGGGCATCTCAAAAGGAAGAAGGAGACTGCGTGTGCTTTTCCATTCTCTGAAAACCTCTGTCTCATTTTTTTCTTCCAGTTATGTACACTGTTCTTTCTCCTTTAAGATGTTCTTTTCTTTTCTTTCCTGAAAAATTTGTCTTTAGGGGCTGGGGATTTAGTTCAGCGGCACAGTGCCTGCTTGGCAAGCACAAGGTCATGAGTTCGATTCCCGGTACCAGAAAAAAAACAAAACAAAACAAAAAAATTTGTTTCCAAAGAGTGGTTCTTCACCTTTCATTGGGACACACATCCCTTTGAAAATCTGATCCAAACTATGGGCTGTGTCTCAGAAAAGTGAGAGAAACTGAAAACCTCCAGAAATTTTGGGGAGATCAGTAAATCCTCTGAAACCCATGTAGATCCCAGATTAAGAACCCCTCCAATATCATTGGGGACTTCTCTCCAATGATATTGAACAAGAAAAGGAAGTCAGATATTTAAAGTTACCCTAGAACCATATTAAATCTGTAAGATATGTTGTCCTGATCCACAATTTCAACAGAGTACTGAGTCTATCACTATCTTACTGGGTAGTGTGCCAACCTGGCTCCTCCCATAGTAATACTGATTGTGGAAGAAGTTTCCAGTATTTGCAACATTTTTCATCCTCCTTTTTTGGGCAGTGGCCATAGCAAAGTTTATTCTGGGATATTATGGCTTAGATCTAAAATATCCCCCCAAAAGGCTCATGTATTCGTTGGTGGAGCTCTTGGTCAGGAAGGTGCTAATATCATCAATGGCTCGATTCTTTGATTAGTTTATTAGCTAAATGGGCTTTTAGAGTTAGGCTCTGTTTGGAGGAAGTAAGAATGTGCCTTTGAAGTATACCTCTGTTTTCAGGCTTTTCCTCTGAAGTTATGAGTTGAGAAGTTTACCTCCACCATTTCTTTCTGCTATGAGATTTTTGCCTTGGATCCAGCAGACCATGGACTGACAACTACAAACCATAAGCCAAAATAAACCTTTTCTCCTTTAGGTTATGTATGTTAGGTAACTAATACACAAGGCATGCCTTTTATTCCCCTGTCCCTAGTAGCCACAGTAGGTTGTAAAGTGTAAAGAAAGGAAAACACATCCTCCTAGAGAGGATTCTGTTTACTCACCAAAAGCAAATTTTTGGGGAGGAACTCTTGGATTCTTTTTTCTTGATCTTTTAGTATTAATGTAACCTTTTCTGGTTGAATTTTAAACCTTAGGTGAAATTTAGGTTCACAATTCTAACATTTTGCCTTAGTGGCTCTTTGCTTTGCAGGAAAAATTATTCTCACTGTTCAGAGACACAACCCTGTATGACACAATCACTTCATAGAATGAGCTGGTGTCTGGGATCCAGCTTGAACAGAGTAGCCCTGCCTATTCAGTAAAGTACACAGCTACTCAGCACCACAAGAAAGCCTACCTCACCAATGGAGATCACAACATGGTGATATGCAGAGCAGCACTCTGCCAGGGGTCTTTATGGGCCCATGGGTTAGTCTCCCTTCATTTCAGTATTCTGGGGACAGATGATGACAGCTAATGGTTGATCTATGTGCTGGGTGCTCTGGTGCAGATATACAAACTCCTCGCATCCTTATGATGTTGGCAATATTGCACTACCTGCTGTGTAGTTGAGAAAAGTAAGGCTTAAAGGGGTTAAATAATTTCCTCAGAGCACTGTATCACTGTATGAATGCTGCATGATTTGGAACATACACTACCGAGGGGGTGGGGATTTAGCTCAGCGGCACAGCATCTGCCTGGCAAGCACAAGGTCATGAGTTTGATTCCTGGTACCAGAAGAAAAAACGAAAACAACAACAACAACAAAAAAAAAACAAGGAACATATGCTACCATCACACCACATCTTTGCCACAGTGCCCGTTCCTGGCTGAGTCTTCCATTCGTAGCAGCTGGACACTGGCAGTGGCTCTCACGGAGGTCAGCAGAGGGGCTGAGTGTGTCCTCCCCTCTAGTCAAGGAAGGACCACCTAGAGGGGTGGGGCCATCCTTGTGGACCTATATCGTTTTCTAATTTTATTTTGTAGATGATAAAAATAAAATTTCCAGCTAATAGTTACATTTTGAAAGCCAGTGGACTGCTTTAATTTGCTATTTCTGCTCATTATAGGGAATACATTTTAAATCCTATGAATACATACATGGTCTTCCATTGATGAAGCTGGTATTGGACTTAGAACATATAATCTCAAGACTTTTTTTCTGATACTGCAGGGGGAAATTAAAAATTTTAAATAAAATCCTGCCCAGGATGCCTGCCGAGACCAAGCAGACATTTCCAGCAGGCCTGATAACAGAACACTCCTTCCTTTCTGTAAATCCTTGTCTTTACTGCCTTTGTGGAACTGATGGCCTTGCAATGTAACTTCAGATATAATGGGACATTTCTTTCTTTGTGTAACTCATGTTTGTTTAACTGATGGCCTTACAGTGTAACTTGAGATGTTTAAACTCACTCCCTTAGCAATCCATGATGTCAATCAACCCTCCAATCATGATGAGTCAAATCTGCCTTTGCACCTCCCCACTCACCCTCCCTATAAAAGTCCCAATATCCTACCAGGCAGGGCTGATTCTTTGGGAGAGATCCAGTCAGGCCCACCAGTGTAATAAACTGCCTTCTAACCCTCTCAGTGCCGTTTCTTCCTCTGGTCTGTTTTCTGTAACAATACCAATAGGAGACACTGCAAACAGCGCAGAGCAAGTTACTCCAGCTGAACTAAACAGTCAAGATTAAAATGCCAGGAAGGGCTGGGGATGTAGCTCAGTGGCACAAGCATCTGCCTGGCAAGCACAGGGTCCTGAGTTTGATTCCTGGTACCAAAAAAGGAAAAAAAAAATCATAAAAATCAGATCCAATGCAATTCATCCTATATGAGCATCGTATCCAATTATATTCTTTTATTCCTTTTTCAAAATATGTGCTTTTTCCCTTTCACAGAGTATCTAGTTTCATGGCCTCCAAATTTCATTGTAGACAGCTATCATGTCCACTAATACATAACAAAGTCTTTTAAAACAAATAGTAAAACATTATGTGTCCGTAGTCGGTTTTTTTTCTCATGGTACTGCCACACAACTTCTTTTGTGCCCATTCCCTTAGGAATTACTCTGGGGGGGAACAACTTCTCAGAAATGGGGGGCACACTTTTAAATCATCTCCAAGTTGAAGATAAACTGACTCTGACACCCAAGAGTACTTCAGCAGAGCGGGGAATTACGTGAAGCAGCTACACTGCTGTCAGTGTGTGCGTACGTGTGTGCGCGCGCATGCACGTGCACATGCGTGGTTGAGTGTATTTGCAGTGAGCTGACACGGAGCGGTTATTATAGGGAATCACTGTTGTTTTAAGAGATCATCCCATAAAGTAGATTAATCGAGCCAGATTAAATATACATGAAGTCTATAATTTTTAAAACCACTTCTGTAAAACCACATTTAAAATCCTACACTTGGGAAATGTTTACCTTTCCTTAGCATTTTACCAGGCACGTCTTTCTCTCATATGGATATCCAAACACACAGAAAATCTGATTTTTTTTCTATAGAGGGCAAGATTGGCTTTAAAACTTTCTAACAGGCAAATGGAGATTTTTAAACCATTACTAAAATGAATTTTCATTTTGTAAATGTCCACTTAAATGCAATTGTCGTCATTGAAATGAATGTAAACTATTTTTGCTCATTTCACCTTTTATTTCTAAATGAAATTCCTTTAGCATGAACTAGCTTCATTAGTTTCATTATTACCACTCCCAGCATAAATAAATGTTACCAAAAAATTAGCTATAGCATTTCTCTTCTTCCTAATAGCCCTTTTGCCAAGGTGGAAAAAAAGCACCCTTTTGAATTTCCATTAGACTTAGATGAGGACAGTGTCTGTCAGTTAAATAAATTATGGAGTACAAAATAAGAGTGGGTGTATAAGCACAGCCATCTAAATACACTAGACACGGGGCTGGGGATTTAGCTCAGCGGCAAAAGCGCCTGCCTGGCATGCGCAAGGTCGTGAGTTCGGTTCCCGGTACCGGAGAAAAACCAAAAAAATAAATAAAATAAAATAAATAAATAAATAAATACACTAGACAGAATGAGAACTACATGTATGGCTCAAATCCACACATGCACACACATACCACTTGTTCATAAGACTCACCTTTGGACTATGTTCCCTTACGTTGAATAAAAGAAAAATTCATGAAGTCTATTAAAGAAGTGCATATTATATGTTCTGATGTGTCCAACTCCCTGTGTTCTGATTTTTACAATCCTCAGAACAGAACAGAATGTGACGATTTTTAAAGTCCTGGTCACAGAAAGTTTTCATTGCCTAAAGGCCCCTCTGTGAGCTCAGGCTGCTCTTTCCGGGTGTGTTTGCCCCAGGAATGCCCGAATTAACTGCCAGCCTGCGCACGCGCTTGCACACACACAAACACACACACACACACACACACACACACACACAAACACAGGCACCCTCCGTATTCCTGATGCTGGGAGATTTCATTAAAATTTCATTTCAGTAGCCAGTTGCGACCCTAGTGTTTCCGAGAAGAAAAGGAAAAAACTGACTGATACAAAAGGGAGTTAAAGTAACCTTAGTGAAAAACTAAACTGGCAAGTGGATCTAATAATTGCCTGGGTTCAGCATTTTTCTGCGATAAATGAGTAAACTTTAAATGTATCTCTGAGATGCACTATCACACTCATTGCCATGGGCAAGTTTTATCCAATGATGAAACAGCAAGGCCTAGTGAGATAAAGATGATAGAAGCCGTGCTATCAGGTGGCAGCTGGGTAATTACAACTCTCTATTTGGCCTCTGCAGTGATGCTGTGTGCGATAAGTGGAGAATAATGAAGAAAAAGGAGTAGTGATAATGCATGAGCTAAATGGTAGAAAATAGCCTATCATAGCCCACAGCCCTTTAAGCGCCTGTGGGGACTTTGAACTATCTTCTTCAGTTTTCCTCCACAAGGAAAAAAAATACTCTCTCTCTTTCTTCTTCCTCCACTGCATTTATGTCTGGTGGGACAAAAGGAAAAACTGAGAGGAAATCAAGGGTATGTGAAGAAAATATGAGCTTTGCAAATAACTCTGAAGGTCACCGTGTAATTATTCAAAAATAAACGTATCCTGTAATTGTGCTCATATTCACGGAAGATACAACAGCATTTCTTGAATGCGCTTTGGCAGAGTTTTGTTGGGGATCATGGCTTATAAAAGGTCAAGTAAAGTATTTCTAATTATAGCCTGGTCAAGAAGGGCCTCGGCAGAACACTCGAGCCATTTGTTCCTATTGAGTGGAACTTTGATTAAGGCAGAAGACAGGCCAAGAGACAATCCATTACATGCAAGAAATCGACTGTTTCTGGCTGATACTTGAGGTCTAGAGTTTCAAAACAAAATGACCTGTGCAGAGTCGAGGAATTTTGACCTTGGTGCTTCCGTCATCTAAAGCAGAGCAAGTCTAGCCCTTCTCATGGGGCTGGCCGAGGTTGATTTTATTTGTTTGTTTTTCTTTCACTTAGAATCATCCTGAACCTGACACTGATGATTCGTGCAGTCATAGGGGGAAATGGCACCATGGGTGTTTGCACAGGATGGCAGAAGTCCTTTGGATTTTGTTTAAATTGCGGTCAAAAAAGACAGAAGATTCTCGTGTCATATGACCATAAGTGTTCAGTTCAGTACTGTTAAGTACATTCATGTTGTTGTGCAACTAATTTGTAGAGCTCTTTTTAGCTTACCCAGGGTGAACCGTACATATCTTAAACAGTAACCTTGTTTGCCTGTCTGAACGCCACCAACCACCATTCTACTTTCCAGTGTTCATGAGCTTGACTGTTTAAGTACCTGTAATAAGCAAAAATCATACAGTATTTGTCTTTTTTGTGACTGGTCTATCTCACTTAGTATACATTCCCCAAGGTTTATACATGTTGTGGATTGGGTCTGACCTCACTGGGGAATTTCGTCAGGAGGAGGTGCAGATGTCAGAGTGCAGTCAACTAAGTCTTGGCTCTTTTACAAAATTTCTAGTGTTTTAAGATGAACTGAAAAGTAAAACTGTGCTTGACTGAAGAAAATGTCGTTTAACCTTTTTATGTTTTTAAATACCTCACTTAGCCAATTAATAGTGAAGTTCTTGACATCCCTCATGAAAAGAAAAAAGTTGGGGGCAATAATCATGGCCAATGTTTATATACAACTATATGTCAGGTGCTCGTGTAAGCCCTTTATATACAATAAACAATTCAATTTTCATACAATAGTATGAAGTAATTACTTTTTTGTGTCATACTGATGAATGAACCTAGGGTTTTCACACTAAAATACATCCCCAGCTCTTTTTTTTCTTTTGAGGTAGGGTCAGCTAAGTCATTAATTTGCCCCGCCTTGATTCACACTGTGATCCTCCTGCCTCAGCCTCACAATCACTATTTTAATCTCCATTTTCTCAGTGTAGAAACCACAATGCAGGGAGCCACTTGTCCAAATCAGGTGACTGAGTAATGAACAGGTCAGGGCTTAAACATCAGTGAAATCTTAACTTGGATTTTGAAAAGAGAGTGCAACTATTATTAGATACTGATGTATGTCACTAAGATCAGTGCTTGTAAGAAAGTTTTCTTTATTCCAAATCATATAGATTGTTAATGATAGAGGTGAAATTTGCAACCTGTGTCTCCTGTTCTTGTTTTTTTTTGTCCCCGCCCCCCAGGCTGCTGTGATGACTCCGCAGAGCACAGATGGCTAAAGCACAGAAACTGTATTTTAACCATCATAGACCATGAACTGTTGACTGTGTATGAATTTCTATACGGACCTAAGGAAACAGAATTTGGATATTGATTCCTTTTTTTTTCTTGGTTTAAGGTTGGAGGTATTATTGCCTAGTTTCCAAGGTAAATCTTAGAGACACTTGAACAGTACATACTCAACACTCAATACTAAGGAAAAACCAAATGGTCTTTTTTTCTATTAGAGCCGCCTACTGAGGTTTTACTTTCCTCTCCCATCGTATCCATCGCAGAAGGCAGAGGAGGTAAAGCATGGAAACAAAGACCACACTGTCACCTCAGCCCAGCATCAGAAACACCAGACACATCATCTTCCCTGAAAAAAGGTCATGGCTTAGTTTGGAGAGTGACACCCTCATCCACAGGGGCATGCACATCTAGTGGTTATCTCAGACCCTGGCTTTCCATATCCAGTGAACCACCAACCTCACTGATTTTACTCGATCTCCATATAGATCTCCCAGTCTTTCTCCTTTCCCATCTCTTCATCCCATCCCTCCATCTACAATTGAAATGACTATATATAATTTAATGATTTTTATTACATTTTGGATAAAATCCAAGCTCCTTGTTGTGGCGTACAAGGCTCTTATGTTCTGACCCATATCGCTTGGTTTTTTTTTGTTTGTTTGTTTTGTTTTTTTTTTGGTACAGGAATCAAACTCTGGACCTTGCACTTGCCAGGCAGGTGCTTATGCCACTGAGCTATATTCCAGGTCCCCATGTCGTTTGACCAGTCCAATTTCCTAACATTTCTCCCAGGTTTCATTATTCTCAAGACACACCAAATTTCTAAAAACATATCATAAAATTCATCCTTCTTTCCCCAGCTAGCTCTTGTGTGTCGCTCATTACATGCTCCACCTATTCCGGGGACTTCCTCCTCCCCTTTCCTTCCTGCCTCTTCCATGCAGGAGCCCCCCCGCTGTGGCCTATGTGCTTCTCCTCTCAGGTCCATGACTATGTTGCATGTGTTTGCATCGCAGCACTTTTCATAGGAATTTTAATTGTTGAATTACTTGTCTCCTCTCCAACTAAGCTGAAAATTATAGAAGGTAAAAACTACATGTACATTAACTATTTCCCATTCTGTAGACTGACTGATAAAATATAAACACAGATATATGAAAAATAATCTCCTTCAAGAAAGATTTCATCAAATGGTAGGTATATACAAGATGTAATCAGAAAATACTGTGTGTGTTTAAATAAAAATTTATATTTAGTATGCTCTGAGGCTTGACAAATGCCTAGTATTTGTTCTCCAACTGCTTTATCTCTGTAAAATGGTATGCTGAATTACTATGAGCTAACTGTTGTAGAAAGAATTTTCCCCTTATGGAAACTGTTTGGTTTGAACAAAAAAACCTTAACAGTTGTGGCCCCTTGAGTCCAAAATTTGCCTTTCCCAAGACTAAGGAACCTCTGCCCCTTTCACCACTGTCTCTTCAGCACCCAGCAGTTCCTTTTCTTTTTGTTTCAAAAAATTAACACATATACATGGTAAAACATCCAACATGCAAAAAAGCATACAGCAAAAAGTAACCTTCCAACAGGAGTCAAGCATCAAAGCCCTTGTCTAGTTAATTGCTACTATCTATGTCCTATGTATTCTTTCAGGGCAATTGTATGCACTTACAAGTTTTTAAAATAAAAATAAATAAATAAAAACTTATTACAGTAAAAGACATAATGACATTAATCCCCTTCAAAATATTCCACCTCACTTCAAAAGTACTTATCCCATCATTGTTGCCACTTCCTGAAGCAGTTCTGGAAGTCTTCTTTCGTGAGTGTCTTTAATTGCACGATTATGGCTGCTGGGATGTCCTCAACTGATTCAAAATATTTACCTTTCATGGTCATTTTGACTTTGGGGAAGAGCCGGAAGTCACACGGTACCAGATCTGGTAAGTGGGTGAGGACACATAGTAAAGTTCTTATAAGACTGCCTTTCCATCAGATGGCAGTCATCACAGTATTAATCATATTTTTTATCATACTTATAAAGACACTCAGGAAAGAGAACTTCCAGAGCTGCTTCAGAAAGTGGCAAGGGGGAAGAGATAAGTGTGTTCAAAGTTAGGGGGAGCGTTTTGATGGAGATTAGTAAGCACTGTAACTTCTGCTATAATTTTTTAAACATTGTATTTTTCAAACACCCTTTGTGCATAAGATACAGATGATAGAGATATAGATATAGATGATATAGATATAAGTGAGATAAATTAGATAAAAAGATATAGATATATAGACACAGATAGATATCACTACACATTTGCAGAGAGAGAACACCTAAATCAAAACCTATAAACTATCAACAGAGTAGATTAATGCCGAATAGCCAAATTATCTTTCTATGAGATGGTTGATTGCCATGGAGTGAAAATGTTCAGTCACAGAATAATGGTAGAAGAGGCATAAATAAACAGAGCTTTTCATTTTTTTGAGGGTTATCTTGCAACTTATTCACATAAATTGATACTCTTTATCCTCCAACTGTATTGGAGCTACTTTCACTAAGTCCTAATAATTCAAATGGTTTAAATCCTTAACAGTTTAAACAAAGCAATGGATAACTAG